AACTTTTGATGGAAACATTTTTCCACCAAAATAGCGTGAACGCCGAAAAAATCGAGGTAGCCGTTAGAATGAACACCCTGTATACTTCCTTTATCCCACAGAGCAGACATGTCAAACGCACAGTTCGACCCATTAGATTTTGCAGCGTCGAGCTTTGTATTTATTTTATTTCACGTAGGATGTGTATTTTGTCGTTCGTGTACTATGATTGAACTGCTTTTTTTCAATATTGACGAACAGCAAGGCGCCTGAAAGATCAGGATCAACTAATAAATATCTTTCTCAACTTTAAGAAGAATTCATATTCTGCACTTTTTCGTTTACGAACAATCTGACCAATATTATCGTTGTAATACATTTTTGAGATGTCAGAGAGAATATGTGTAATCGTTTCTTGATAAATTAAATTTGAATACTTATGAAGAAACAAACTTGTGGATCTTTTCTAGCGTCTTCGGCTAGGATCGATAGCTGCATAAACCGCTTTTGACAAAGTGCTCTCTAATTAATGCTCTCTGAAATATCGCTGTCCCCAGGAACCGCCTAATGATTTCCTTGACCGCGGGTCGAAAGAGAAAGGAACGAATCGAAATCACTCCGTGAGGACAGAACCGAGTCGCCTAATTGGATCCGCGAAGAGCCTACTATAGCGACACGATGCCTTCGCGCGCTGACTTTATATCCCTTCTTTCGGAGAATTTCGGGAATTACGATTAAGAGCTTGCGAAACAAGGTTGGAAACTACGAAGTAGTTGCTCCACATTTTGCATAATTTATCGCAAACTCGCGAAATGCGTTTCAAGCCAGAAGCCAAGTTAAGGAACTGCGAAATGGAGGAGAAAGACAATTAGGTGCCGCGACACGTTGAATAAATGGAGGACTCGAAAAAGTTGTCATGCCAGCAAAAAGCTATTCGTGTATTTAGGTACATATTATTGCTCTTTACTTCAGTTGTGACTTCGAACGTTTCGTGGCGGAACGGTGAATTCGCAAAAACGGGACAAGTGCAATCTGAATTTATTAGGTATGTTTGCGGAGTAAATACACTGGAAAGGGAAACGTTTAAGAAAGATATTTACGAGCGAGCTGCTAAGAAAGATAGAAAGTGTCGCGGATTACAGCTCTGGAACACACGAGTATGAAAAAGTATCAGGCTATGGCACGAGGAATTCTATTTTTTATTAACTTTCGTCCGAAAATATTTTACTGGTAATCTATATTTTTGGTTGACGTCAGCTGAATCTTAAATCCCGACCTTGTATTCCTGATATTTCGCTATATATACCCTTTTTTTCCACCCTCTCTCGATCCATTCACTTCTCCTCGGATCCATATCCTGCAACAGGGTTTCCGTTTTCCTTTATTTTCTCTCGTTTGTCTCATCAGCACACCCTTTAAACTCTTTTTCCCGTTCCATTGTGTTCACTTTTTCTTTTTTGTTCATTCCACTATCTATTTGATTACGTCTGTCCCCTTCTTTCTTTAAAATCCAGTACTGTAGATGTTTTGTGTCACTTTTAAAATTTGCCTTTCAAAAAATCATCAACAATACTGACACATGTATTTAATATTATAACAACACAGAAATCACTAAAATTCAGAACATATATAAATATTCCTCTATTGATTTTTTTTTATTTGTTGCATTATTCCTTCGCTAGCAGTCTTCTTCTACTCTTCAAGCACTATCATTCCTCGTTTACGTTCGTTTTCTACCCAGCCAAATATACTGGGCTACCATTAACAAAATAAAAGACATCTTTTGTCCTAAAATCTTCGCGTAAAAATAACACCCTAACCACTCTATTCGCCAGATACCTCGACGCCCTGTTTCCTCTACCCAAGAAAGAAAAAAGCCACGAAAGGACCACGTCAGAGGCGTAAAACGAAGCTCACCGAACGAGCCAAAGTATCAGAAATGTTTCGAAGCGTGGAGCAAACGTTGGCAGAAATTTGTTACACCCGCTGGAGAAAACCCCGACACATAAACGAAAGAAAACACACCAAACATCGTACCTTACTTTCGGGATGGATTCTTCTATTTCGCGTCCGCTGGTTCCTCCTTAACAGTTAAAACACACCAACCCACACGTTTTATTATTCTTTCCAGCACCGTTTCTCTTTATCCTTATCCAAACCCATTTTGCTCTTTGTTTCTGTACATTCCACTCCACCCTCTCGCGCGTTTTCTCTCCCCATCCGTGTCTCTACGCATCTCCCTTCGCTAATCCTATGCCCACACTCCCACCCCACCCCACATCCATTTCTCCCCGTTCTCCCCCTTCAGTTTCTCTCCCCTTGGCTTCACCCTTCGCGATCGCTCGGAAACGCCATAGACATTCCCAACCCAGTGAACCGTCCACCCCCGTCGTTCGCCCAGGGTGCAAGCATCACCTCTCGACCGGCGCCCGATTCCACGTGTGCGCTTTCACCGTGACAAAGCCAGATTTAAGCTCCGCTTACGAGTCGGAGCTTTCCAGCTGGCTCGAATTCGCCGGGATCCGCTCGCAACGCGTTGCTCTATAACGATTTTCCTCTCCCTGACGTTTTGTTATCAGCCATAATAGACTGCGTTCCGCGGCACCGAACCGAACAGGAAGATTTAGAGAGACGACCGTGATGTACCCGCGAACATCGAATAAAAAGATACCAATGACCGCGTCCATTGTGCGTCTCGTAATGCGAGACTGTGTCTGCACGCCAAATATTTCCCAACAACTCCGCGCTACGCTGAAACCGATACTTGCCCTGAGATTTTCTGTTCGACGCGATTCTTGAATCTTCGAAGATATTCTGCCTTCGTATGGACGCCAATGTTAGGCGATCACTTGCGTTAGGAGATCAATGTTCGATTCATGATCAGGGGTTTACCGTGGAATTTGTCTCGTTGGAATAATTGACATGGTTTGCTTGATAAGAAAACTGAAACTTCAGGAAATCTAGAAATTCGTTTCCAAGATTAATGAATAAATGATCGGGTGTTGTATTACAATCTTGGTGCATTGATCCTTCCCATCGATAGCTAGGCTCGTATTATACGGCGATTCAACGAAATCGTTCGAGTTCTACCCGGTTTTTAGAGCTCGGACCTAACGGTCAGGTTACGATTACACGGAATCCGATCGTCGATTGCTATCTCACCTGATTTCGCGGATTTATCGAGAATTCGATATCTTCGACTTCACGATCCGTTCGAATAAAATCCAACGAATTGGTACGGAAAAAAAAGTCTTCGAGGAATAAAAAAATGCTTATTGTTCTATGAATGTAACAAATATACCGATAAAGATGTTACCTTTTTACTTAATCTTGTACCTTATGTTCTCCCAATAAGATATTGTATTATGTTCACAGCAAGTATGAGAAAGATGACCGAATTGATTCAGAGAGAAAGCGCAAGACAATTTTGTCATAGTTATTATTAGGTGTTTCGTAAGTGCATTTCCAAACGAAAGTTTCCCACAATTTTGAAACTTTATAACCCGTTAATTATAAGAATTAATTTGTCGAAACAAGGTATCTCGGCGTGCATCGCAATACATCGCCGAGTTTCTCTTTTCAGCGTTTATTTTACTCAAATTAACACACAAATTGTACATGAATATTACACTGCTCGCACGATTTTATAAAAATAGAAATTTGAAAGAATGTAATCAATTTTGATGAATATCAATTAAGCAGGGAAAAATTAAGCAAAAACAAATATCAATTTAAATATAAAAATATTTCAAACGTTTCGTTCATTTATCGTCGAACGTTTGTCAATACGAAAGAAATATCAGTTTTAAAAAAGAATATAGGAACCATTATCCAAATTGTGAGTTGAAAAAATAAAAATTATGAAATATTTAATTCTATAATTTAATTGTTCATCTTCATTTAACAATTGTGTCTTTTATTCGCTTTTTTCCCCGTTTCTGTGAAAAATGCAGTACTGTCGCCAAACTCAATTATCCGTGAGGAACACGTCTTCCACTTCGGCCTTAAAAACACTAACAATTTCGAGTTCCGTTATACTTCTCTGTTACGTGCACCTGTTTCAAGATTAATCTCGCTCGAGGTAGTGGAAAATCAAGTTCAAGAAGAGTGCGGCAAGTGCATTTCTCTTCGTTACACTCTTGGAAACAGGAATGGTTTCAAGGCCAGTAGGTTAATTCACGAAAATAACCGCTCATCGTGAACGTGAAAAAAAGAAAATAAAAAAAGGAGGACGGAAGGGCCTCCTGAAAATAGAATTTGTCTCATAGAACGTTCTATTATCATTACTCTAAATAAAATTTTTCCACGTCTGTATATTCGTTAACATAATAGTATTTTTTTTTATAGTGAAAGACAATCTGTGAGTAATTTTCGATTCGAAAGTTCGACTGAAAACCGTGATTAAATTAACTGCAATGCAACTCTTGTTAAAGGTTAACGAACAACCCCAAAAATTGACAAAACGAAACACCCATAGACGAACGAAACCAGACGATAGTTCTAAATTTAATAAACCCGCCGGGGATTAATAATTTTATCTGGATCGGTCGGAATCGTCGAGAGAAAAGTTAGTTTAAGGGCTCGATTGAATGACCAAGCGAAGGGGACGGGGACAGATTGAATAAACCCTGTTTACGTATCTCGCGAAAAGAGACGGACGTGGAATTCGATGGGGAAAAAAAGAGGAATCGATCGTAGCTGGAAAGGTCGAAGAGAACAGAAAAAGAAGTGCACGTATGGTAACGGACACGCAAAGAACAAGAGAGAAAGAAATAGAAGCTGACACCCCTCCGGTGTGCAATTCTGACGAGCTGGCAATTCGATCCTGAAACAGGACCCAGGAGACGGCATAAAGCTCACTCCAGGCTCGTTTGTTCTTTCTTCCTTCGTTTTAACTCCCCCAAACCCGGCTCGACACTTCACGATCGTTCGTCTGTCGCTATTTGTCTCGCTAGCGTCTCGTTCTTTTTGTCCCCGCGCCTCTGTCTGACGCTGTTAAAGATTCAATTTAATTCACTCACCATGAAGGGCCTTCAAATATGCTTTCCCGGCATTGATCAGCTGCCTCGCTCCTGGGTTGAACTTGTCCAGAATATTCTGCAATCATTAAAGCACAACGCGATTAGAGTTTCGTTCGTCTTGCTTTATGAGCTCTTGATTAAATAATTTTAAATAAAAAGCAATGAATAGGTTCGAACTGAAATCAGTGTTTGAAATACTTAAGAGAATGGTCGTTTCAGAAATCGAAAAAATTTCAAAAAAGTGAGTAAGCAACGAAGAGCATAATTTGGTAATCAGAAACAGTATTATTCAATCGTTATCTCGAAAATTACTGAAATTAAACATAAATATTCAGTCGTATCATGATAGTACTCTTTCTTAAGGTTTATTAACGAGTTTAGAATATCGGTTATGTTACGAATAAATTTGTGGTTTATTTGGCGTGACTCGACAGCTAAATCATCGAACTGTACGCGTTATGAAACAACGAATGCAAAGAGATAAAGGTATAGATAGTCCTCAGTGGCCTCTCCGGAATAGTAACGATAAATTATTGCGCCCAAGTTTGCAACTAAGTAGATGCTTCAGCATGTAAAGAAAAATTATTGCAATTGTTTTATGGAAGTTCTGTAAAGTATGAAAGATGGTTTCCCGGAACAACATCATTTAAAAACTTGGATTCGAGAACAGGTTCCGGTGGCTGGGTTGCATATGAAGAAACATTGTGCGTCTTTCATTCCGGAAAAGAAGTAAATAACTGATGTACAAAATTAATATTACGATACTTAATAATTTCGTCTGATATAACAATTATTATCCACGCAATTATAATCTCTTAGAGTCTCTTTAAACAGACAATCAGAGACATGTTCGTCACCGATCGATACCTATCCGTATTGGCGACTGTTAACGTGCATGAGCTAATCGGATTACATCATTATGACGAATTAGACTCTCGTGCTCGAATACGTGTCAGCCTTCGGTCTTGGAATGCGGTCGACTTTTATAGTCCGCGAAGGAACTCCCATTTGTCACTTGTAAATGTTGTCCTTGCAAATTTCAACCTGTTTTTAACGACAGCCTCGATACATTACACATTATCGTTAAACGTATTACTTAAATCTATGTAGTACTTGTATATATACAGAGACATGAAACATTTTTATACGCCCTGTTCACAGTATACCCCCTCAAGGCAAACAAATTCCAAGCATTTAATAATCGTGTCTTCGCTCATTCGAGAGAAATCTCCTACAAAACGAAGCACGAAAAAACGTCGAGAACTAAGAAACCTCACCGAACTCCAATTCATCCTAAAACAATTCTCCGTCCCCGAACTCCGGGGTCCAAATATCAGACTCCTGGCCACGGTTTCGAGAACTTTGCCCTCGGGATCGTCCGGTACTCGGCCATCCAGAAGCAGAAACCATCAAACGGAGCCGAAAAGTAAACGGAAACAATGTCACCGGAAACTTGCGGCTAGTTGATAGCGGACAGATAGCCGAATAAACAGGATTTTCCTGAAGGACCCCGGAGGACGAATAACGAGAGATGGCGCGGGACTTGGAGCTATCACGAGACCGTGTACGAACGCCTCCGGCATTCCAGCTTTGAGGACGAACCTCCGTCGTCTTCCTGCGTCTATCTCTTCCTGCAACTACCCTCTTCCTCCCGCCACGCGGCCCTTTCAACCGGCGTTCAAGGCGACGCCTTTTGGCTGCCAACGGTCTACCGGACTGCTCGGTATCTCAAGACTTTGGGACAACGGGACCGTGTTTTGCGAGGGTTGGCGAGACGCGCGTTTAACGCCCAAAAACACCGAAATTCTAACGGCTAATAAGGACCCGGTGACGATTTGTCACGATGCGACTGATCCTCCGCGGCATCCATCGTCCGTTGTCGCCACCGGTCCTCCCGCAAAGTGGAAAAGGAACCGATCGGCACAGACAGAATGTTAATAACGGGCTGCTCCGTGAGTAATGATCCGTGTACTCGAAAAGTGGACCGACCGACGCCAGGAACAAACAGGTTCGCGGAACTTCGGTCCTTCCTGGGAAGGAAGTCCAACGACTTCCGCGGAGTAGTTATGAGAGTCGTTCCCGGCGGTCGACGACTGTTCCAGATTCGCGAAGAAACGACTCTCTGGATGTGATTTGTATGTCCATTATATTGGGCGGACCGGATAGCGCTGTCGTTGTTTCCCATTAAATTTTATCGAGAAACTTGAAATACATAAAGTCTCTGTGTTTATGCTCCGAGCCTCGTAAACTATTGCAAAGCTGTTGTCTCGGAAACCAATATTAATAAAACTTTATTTTTTCTATTTTAAAAGTCACTGGACCATTTCATAATATTCGTTCATCGTAGAAGCAACCAATAGAAATAAAACATTACTTTATGTTCTATACAGGATGTACTTACCTCGTAATTGCAAGTTGTTTTCTCAGAAACTAACGGTGATTTTGATAAAATTTTCCTTCGTATTTTAAAAGTCAGTCTCGCAATGTACCGTTGGGAGATATTAAAATCAGTGAGCTATTATATCGAATCGTAGAAAGTGGACCGTACGGTTCAAAGTTGAAACGAAATTACGATGGAAGGCTCGCAGAGTTCGAAGGTCGACACGAACGCGACTCGAGTCGGATAATGGCACCCAGACCCTCGCACAACAAAATAACGAGGCGGGTCCCACGACAGGAAGCGTCTTTGCTTATCGCCGTTATGTAATTTGGCCGGAAACGAAGTAACGAGAACAGTGACATGATCAGAGGCCCGACCGAACTTGCGTGGCCAGTCCCTCCGGTGCGTCGATCGACTGACTTGAATTCAAACTTCCTAATCCGTGAGGGATCCTAAATTCATTGTACCTATGTCAACTGCGTTATGCCATGATATTCCACAGAGGATGCAGCCTCTCAAAGTGATCTGGAATTTGGGTAATGATGCTGGGTGAAAAGGATCTGGAGCTGATTATAGTCGAATGTAAAGGGAGCATCAGTGCATCGGCATTTCGATAGTTCCCGGATCTCACGGAGACTGATACAACTTATAATTGCAGTTAATTCGATCGAAAAATTAAAATTAAAAAGAATAGTTCGGCTCGAGAGCTGCAAACCCGTTTCTACTATTTATATAATCGCCATTTGTGCGTCCGTGCTCGCGGGAAAATGTTGCTCGCAGTTAAAGAAGAGGATTAATTGTCGGGAACGATGAGCTAAACATTTGCCGTGGCTCACGGGAATCCGTTTAATTCACGGAAACATGGTAAATCGTTCGAACGTCAAACGTGATTCCGCTGCACGAGAGTCGTTAAAGCATTGAGAATTTCGATCGACGGCCATTAATCCGCTCGAGGAGATCGACGGCGGCGAAAAACAATCGCGATGGCGAGCACGATCGCTAAACTGTTCGTTCGAACGTTCGAATCGGCCTCCGGCAAAGTAGTATCGGCAAAGAACGCATACGAGGCGAACGCGAACGCTGGTATAGATATCAAATGGTCTATCGCCATCGGAGAAATGACTTGTTTGCTCGCTGACATTCGATCCCACCGATTGAGCAGCATTTATAAAAGGTATTGTTTGGCGAGAGCATTGTTTGCGTTCGAATTTACCTTACGATTACGTTCATTTCCAACGGTGACTGGAAATTTTCACCTTATTCGGTAGATCGTGCTAAATTTGAAACGTTGCATGCACTGTTCGTAGTATTACTTTTACCAACGAGCAGCGATCATTAAACGCGAGATCCACGAAGATAAATTAGTGGATAGTAAAAGTCTCGTAATGAAGGGTGGTTCGCGGGCAAAAAAAGGCTGAGCAACACTCGTAACACTGATCGTTGCTTTTAAGACCAACGTGTCTTCTTATTCTAATAATTACGAAGGGTAAAACAAATTTTATTGAGCGTAGTATACGCTTCATAGAGGCCACGATGGCTCGTGTGTGAAAGCCATCGTAACTCGTAAGCCAAAGGCCTTAGAAATTGAAGTTAATTCACCGTCCTGGATTTCTAATGACATTATGAATAGAACAGAATTAGTTAAACGATCAAACTTGTTCTCCAGGCACGTTAATGTTTCATCTTGGACGTTTCAAGTCTCACAGTTTGATCCACTTCTATTTAATAATTGCAGCAATGATAAATCTGAAGCTTTCTCACTGTACGTTAATGATCTCACGCTTTTTCTACGATTAAAACACCGGAATTGGAACTTTGTGTATATGAAAAAACTTCTAATATGATTATGAAAAATAGTTTATCGCGTATATTCTTTCTATCTTGAAAAGAAACATACCAAAACCTCGATAAACATCATTTCTTTCGTTTATTAACTTCAGATTATTTTATTTTCACATGCAACTTTGTAAACTGCATCAGAGGCTAAAACATCGTTCCACCATATACGTAAATCCACATATTTCCGTATTCCCGCTACTTTGAAGAAGTTATGTGCCGTTGTCTTGCCACGCTTAGAGTATCGTGCTCGTACTTGGAAACTCCATTACAATCAATATCGTATTCTCTCAGAAACGGTACAAAGCAAACTACGTTAATAGGTTACTTGCAAAACGAGAATACCTATAGCAATTAGTGATCACTGATGTAGTAGATGAGCTATAAATCCCAGATTTAATCGCTCTACACTTCAACCGTTATGTCAAAACCAATCAAACGACTTATGGCAAATTCAGCTGTGTAAATCGTATGTTAATGGTTATTGGGACCACTTTTATGGGGTTTTTCTAACTTTACGGTGTTAAGGAACAACTTTTCCAATATTCTCAGAATTTCTACATATTCTCCATTAAAATACGCGTCGTTTGCCCCTTTAAAAATTAAAATCGTCCAATCCGTTCAGAAGTTATGACGTTTTAAAGATACGCATGAAATTTCAGTGAAACAGATCAACGGTATGGTCAGACATGTAATTTTCGGTAATGAATTTTTTTCTCGAAAGTGCGTAGGATTTCGGGGGTATGTCTAACGACCAAAAATAATTGTAATGTACCCCTGTAACTGGAAATAATTTTTTTAGAACGATTTGAAATTTTTTATTTTCGCCGACAAATTATAGGTACCTTTTGAATTTTTTT